TCACTAATTTATACATTTTGAGACGGTTACTTTTATGTTATGGTTAATTTACGTCAAATTTTTTTTAAATGGTGGGCCACTAACATAGAACCCACTGTAGTCATTGGCAGTTATTTTGTAAACGTACATTTGCTGACAGGTATTTTCATAATCTTCATTATTAATCAGGTTACAAATTAAATTGTTAAGTTAAATTTTAAAGATTATAAATTTTAAATTAAAACAAATTATAAATTTTTACAAAGCAAAAGAGCAAACCAAAGAACAGAAGAAACTGAGAAAGAAAGGGAACAGAGGCAGGGAACATGAGAGAAGAGAGGGAGAAGGAGGACGAATAAAAAGAGCAAAAAAAAAAAAAAAGACAGAGGAGAACAGGAATATGAAAGAGAGCTAGAACAAAAATTTTACACTTGGGTAATATCAGGTGTCAGTGGGGGTTGTGAAGAAAGGAGAGTGCAGGAAGTAGCACTCTCCTACATACCTGGTAGGGATATAAATGGCCACGGACACTCTGAAGAACGATTTGTCAGTAGCAAATAAAATGAAAATGAACATACTCAGAGCCCTACTTCTGGGCATATATTCCGAAGAAATCATCACATATGTGTCCAAGAAGCATGCACACAGCATTTGTTTGCTATATCAAAATACTAGAAACAGGCCAAGTGTGGTGGCTCATGCCTGTAATCCCAGCACTTTGGGAGGCCAAGGCAGGTGGATCACTTGAGGTCAGGAGTTCAAAACCAGCCTGACCAACATGGTGAAACTCCATCTCTACTAAAAACACAAAAATTAGCCAGGCGTAGTGGCAGGAGCCTATAATTTCAGCTACTTGGGAGGCTGAAGCAGGAGAATCGCTAAAACCCAGGAGGCAGAGGTTGCAGTGAGCCAAGATCGCACCACTGCACTATTCCAGCCGGAGCAACAGAACAAGACTCTATCTTAAAAAAAAAAAACAAAAAAAAAAACCTACAAACAACTTAAATAGTTAAGGAGATGGATGCAATGTGATATATTTGTGAAAATAAGTAAAAATCTAAGCTGTTGGAACTTTAAAACACTTTGAGCCTTAAGGGAATCTGATTATGGGATCTAAGTCACATGTAAACAGGCAACTATAAAGCAAGCAGCTGTGACCTTTGTTTCTCTGATTATAGATCAGCATTTTTTCTTACCTATGTTGTTTTGTAAAGTGTTATGAATGACTAAAGGGCACCACGGAAGACCCCTTCTCTCCTAACTGTTGCTCTTCATTGTAGATTAACTTTCCTCTCTCACACGGACTTCATGACTACCACATTGTCTAAGATGGAATGTTAAACATACTCTTTTAAATAGGAAAAGAAAAGCTGTATGGATAAGAAAACAAATCGTAACTAAATTGTTGTAACTCATAAACCAGCCTTGTAAAGAAAATATTATAATCACACTAAGTTTCTTTCTTTTCTGCCTATATATGCAAGATCTTAACTTTGGAGCATTGACTCCATTCCTTTGGAGTCTATGTTGTCTGAATAGCCATTCTCAGCTAAATTTTAAATTGAATAAATGCTTTAATACTGGATTCTGATCATTTTCATTATTTCAGGTAGACACACTGATAATATAACAGTATATAGTCATTTAAAAGAAGAATTTTATATATATTATATATGTGAAAAGATAAATGAACTCCAAGGTACTTTGTTGCCTGGTAAAGATAGTTGACAGATACAGTATGATGTCAAGCAATATACCTTAGTATATCACATTATATTCATGTATTACTCATATAATAAAATGCATAATAACAAAAATGAGGGATACAGAGAAAGAGAACATAGCCATGATCAAGGCAGGAAAACATACGTGAAGGAGTAAGAAAGAAAAATCAGAATGCAGCAGGACAGAAGTATTTAACACAAAATTTTCAAAGAGGGGTTGCACTCTATATATTCTCTCACAATTTGGAGGGGGTGGGGTGCATTTACAAGTCCAAGCATGTATTAATTGGATCCTCTGCTTAGGGTTTCACAAAGCTGCAATTAAGGTGTCATTGGTCTGTGTTCTCATGTGGATGACTGACCAGGGAAGAATTTACTTCCAAGCTCACTTAGACTGTTGACGGAATTCATTTCCTGGAGTTTGTAGGGCTTCTTGCTGGCTGGCTATTGGCTGGAAGCTGCCTTTCAGCTCCTAGAGGCTGCCCATGGTTCCTCACCATGTGGACTTCCCAAGCATGGCCACTCTTCATCAGGACAGACAGGACAGTCTCTAGAGAATCTGTTCATAAGAGTCTTTTATAAGGTAATGTAGTCATGGGAGTGATATCCGTCACCTTTGTTACATTTATTTTCAAAAGCAAGTCACAGGTCCCAACCCCTCTTAGGGGGAGGGGATCTAATACAGGTATGAACATGAAGAGGAACTGGGAATCAGAAACCATTGGGGCCACTGAAGAATCTGTCACATAGGCATATCTTAGTTGCACTGAGACAGGCAAGCTATTTTAAGATGGTGTGGTGAAAAAAGGTGAAAGCTCCTTACCCAAGCTCTAGCTTACCTAACTCTCAGTCAATCGGTAACAGACCCAAGAAACTGTTAACTGCAAGCTTCTATTTAAGAGGGCTAGGGACTTCCCCAGATCCTCACCTGCACAGTTAGACTTAAACTCCAACCTACAGTTACCCCTTCCTCACTTTAATGCTATATATAACTCCTGGGGTAGAGATTTAAAATGCTAATACTACATATGACGTATGAAAAGGCATATTGGGCCACTGTGCAAGGACAAGAAAACTTCTCCTAAACGTGCCCTGATGTAACCCTTCCCTACAGAAAGACCCTATGAAACTCACACTACCCTCAGAAAGCAGTCCGCTCCTTCTCCTTTCTTAGTACTGACTCCCTTGTGCACAAGCTGAATAAACTTTCCTTTGCTGCTATGTTTGGTGATCTCTTTTAATCTCTATCATGGGAGATCATGAGAACCCAGGGCAACATTAACAGCTTCTGAGTTTTTAAATTAGAAATAACTGTAATATAATCCTTGAATTTTTAAAATGTAGGACACTAAACAAGTAAAATCTAAACCAGAGAACATCTGACCTCAAAGCTCATGGCCTTCTCACTTCCCTGGCCATAGTTTAAAGGTATACACACACACACACACACCCCATGGACTACATCCAGTTTAAACTGGATTTCCAACATTTGAGCAAATCCCTCGAGTGAAGAGTAAGAGTGAAGGCCTAGGATCAGGTGGTTTCTAGCCATTTCTGGGGTGTAACAATATGTGTATCCTCGGTTCCAGCATCAATTAAAGGGAGTTAATTTTACCATCTATAGTCATTGTTTTTGTGGTTACTCTGGGGCTCCAAAGAGACACTGATTGCTCAGTAAATGCTTGTTCCTGGAGTCACTGTTACCAATATGGTTATATCAAAGGAAAGTGAGCTAGAAGAAAGGAGATAAAATTCTTAAATTAGTGGCGTGTTTTACTGGTCATCACTAACCCCCACATTTGTTTCACACAAAAACAAAACAAAACTTTGCTAATTGCAAAGGAAGAAAAAAATGCACCCAATTATTGCTTTAAAATTGTATGTATCTGGTTATTACTGATTTGAGCTTTTTTTTTTGTCATTTGTGTTTTTAAATTTTTTCCTTTTATGATTATCTACGCCATTTACTCATTTGGTTTTTGAGATGTTCACTGATTTGAATATAGATATTTTATTGGTTGGTGCCTCATACCTGCAATCCCAAGCTTTAGGAGGTCGAGTCAGGAGGATGCTTGAGCCCAGGAGGTCAAGACTGCTGTGAGCCGTGATCCCACTCCACTGCCCTCCAGCCTGGGTGACAGCGTAAGACCCCATCTCTAAAAATAAAACATTTAAAAAGATACTGTATTGCCCTTTCTCTGTCCAATACATCCAAATATTCCCGTTCCCACTCTGGTGATTTACCTCTTTATTTTGTTCACGGTGTGTGTGGAGCGGGGGTGACAGGGCCGGCGTGCGGTTACGCAGTTCAGCAGCCAGCGCATCGCTCCTGCCCAGAGTGACAGCGAACACCAGGTGTTGGTTACAACCGCTAGCGGTACACTCCGGGAAGCGCATCTTTGGAAACTTTGGTCCGTAGCGGCCGCTAGGATTCTCGGCTGCCCCGCACCCCGGCGGCCGCACCGCCTGCCCCGGCCCAGACGCGGCTGCCGCGCCCGCCCACCCGGCTGCGCCCGGGGGCGCGCGCCCGTGCCCGGCCCCCGCCCGCGCCGCCGCGCCGCTCCGGAGCCGACTGCGGTCACGCTGCGCCCGGCGCGGCGGGGTGGGCGGCAAGGCACTCGCGAGGCGGGCGCTCAGGGCTTCCGCGCGGGCCAGCCGGGTGCAGCGCGCTCCGCCGGGAAACTTCTGCGGACGCCCGGCGGGAGCTCCGCGCAGGGCCGGAAAGGAGAGGTAAGAAGGTGAGCCCGGGGGCGCTGCGGCCGCCGCCTTCCGGAGCTGTCCGCACCCTCGCACCTCGCGGCCGCTTCGGGCAACTTAGCGGGCGCGGCTTCAACGGGGCCGCCGAGCCCAACGAGCGCTTGCTTCTGGCTGCCCGGCGTTCCTGCGCTCCCTGCGCTGCCTGCGCCGCTCCCTGCCCGGGTCCCGCCAACTCCGCGTCCCCCGGAGTCCGGGGTCCCGGCGGCGCCGCTCGCGGCTCGGAGGGCTGGGGGGTCCTCTTGCGGTTCCCGACCGCGCAGACCCCTGGAGAACGCGAGTCATCTGCCTTGGAGGCTTCCGGGCGAATCTTCCTCCCAGACCTTCTCCCGCAGGTCCTACTCTGGCCCCAGGCACCATGGAGCCCACATAAACAGGCCAGGTTTGCAAGGGAGAAAAGCTGTTCCTAGGGGTCCTGACAGTCTTGGGTTTCACCTTGGGGAAGTCCTGTCACCGCCGGGAGTTTCCTTTCCCCGCTTGTAAGCAACGGGCCTGACTGGGGTCAGTGTTCTCACGCTATTCTCACAGAGTTGGGGGTACGAAGGTCGCGCTGACCTGTTTTCTCTATTTGGGGATCCCCCAGCCAAAAAAGCAATTTGCCTGCCCCGAAATTGTCTTATCACTAAGGTCGGTTACAGTGGTATCTTTTTGAGGGTATTTTAGGCAAAGATAAAAGACAAAAATCAAAATACAGTAAGAAGGGCAGTGCCAGAAATTTAGCCAGAAGACATTTGCAGAAAGTGGAAAACTCTGTTGGTAAATAATAAGTGGAAAAGCAGAATTCGAATCCCACTTTTGAACGCAATTTTATTTACTAAACTTCTGTGCTTCCTGACTTTTCACTCTAATTCCAGTACTCAGATATTTTGAATTTGGAAGCCTACAAACTGCAACTGAGTTTTATAGCAGCCTTAAAAAATTATTGTTGCCTGTTCATACTTAGTGGCAGGTTTTTTCCCTTGTTTTTAATTCTACGGACTGTTGCATGAAAATATCCCCTTGTCAGGGTACAATAACTTGGCATTGTTCTTTGTGACAATAGAAAACCAACAAGAACTACATGGGACAGAAAATGTAAACAAAAAATTGGATCTCAGTTTCTGAATGTGCAAAATGAAGAGCTCTGGCTGATCCCAGATTCCACATATCTCTGAGGTTCTTGTTCTTTTCTGTCCTGAAAATTGTGTGTGTGTGTGTGTGTGTGTGTGTGTCTTCAGGAGTTTGGGATACAAATATTAATTGAAATCTAAGATACTCTGTCCTTAAAATTTTATACATTTAAATGGGAAACATTTGATAGTTGAGTTTCTTTAATCATATCAGTCTCTCAAAACAGCTGAATCATTGTGCATCCTTTGCTTCTAAATGATTACATCCTAAGCTATTAAATAAAAATGTATCATGGTAAATCTAAATCCCATACTTTTCACCACAAGACTGACTAATAGGGTTGACACACTGGAGTACTGATGCCTGCTTATTTTGAAACAGTCTCCAGGAAAAATTAAGAATGTTTTGAAGCATTTGCTACAGTATGTGAGCGTTAACACATAAGCAGCATGACAGGCAAGAAATTTCAAAACTCCTTTGGAAATATCCATGATAGATCTGAAAGTCTGTAAAGTGCAGTTGAGATCACTTTTTGTAATTATGGTCATTGGTCAGCTGGGAGTATGAGCTCTCTCAAGAGAATGAATTTCCCTCCAATTAATAGAAGAGTATCTTGAATCACTGATTAGATTATTTTAAAGGAAGAGAGAACATGCTTCTCTCTTTTTTCTAAGTAGTTATAAGAAAAAGTCTTACAGGGAAAATTACATTAGGTGTTTTCTAAATTAAATAAATAAATAACCAAAAGTTCCTGACTTAAATTACGTATAAAAATGCTGGGTCCTCCTCCAACCCAAAGAATCCAGGAATTAATTCACATAGACTTATAGTGAGACCTTCTTATTTTCTGTTCCTCAACAGAATAATGACCTCCTGTGACTCTTGCACACTGAAATTGGCTAGGATGGGATCACCAAGGAAGGGATGTGGTAGTATTGGAAGGACAAGCAAGTGGCTAAGCTTGTAGAAAAATCTCCAACCCTCTGAGCTTCATTTTCCACTATGAGCAATACCGATAATAATATGTAGGTTTCAGAGTTGCTTTGACTCCTAAATGTGTGTGTTTGTAGGAACTAGCACTTGCACAGAGAAAGAGCACAGGTAATCTTGGTTCTTCATGTCTTCCTTGGAAGGTGTTTGTTTTCTAGCTGAACAAATTGCGGCTGAATTGTAGATAACAGCTTTTGCTTTTAATTTCAAAAATTCTGTGTGGCAAAATCTTAATAATTGTTGAATCTAGGCAACAGGTATATGGGAATTTATTGTATACTATTTTCGCTATTTTTGTCTATGTTCAAAATTATTCATCAGAAAAAAAATTTAAGTGTGAATCTGAAAAATAAACCTACACTTTGAGTTACTTCTAGTCCAAAATTTCATTTTACATTGTATTTTTTAAAATTAGTGAATATTTACATATGGAGAAATATAAATTATGTACTATGTAGGGGGTGGATGGGCAGAGACTGATCCTAGAGAACAACCCATGGCGGCCTTCAATTTTTTTGTGTGAAATTTTTCTTTATTATGAAACAATCTAATGAAAATATGACAATGTTGATGTTTGTTAATTCTGGTTGTTGGGTTCATGGATTTTGTTGAAATTTTTATATTTGAATTTTTTTACATTGATTTTAAATCACTGTATTGTTTCCCAGAATCATTTTAAGGAATACAAATCATGCAGATATTTTTAGAAAGGCAAAAATAGTTTCTACCCCACCATCAAGAAATACTCATCTTTAACATGAAGTGAAAATCATTGCATATGTCTTTCTATGCATTTATAAAAACAGGATATGTTGGCCGGGCTCGGTGGCTCACGCCTGTAATCCCAGAACTTTGGGAGGCTGAGGTGGGCAGATCACCCGAGCTCAAGAGTTCGAGACCAGCCTGGCCAATGTGGTGGAACCCCATCCCAAAAATTAGACAGAGGTAGTTGCACGCACCTGTAGTCCCAGCTACTCCAGAGGCTAAGGCAGGTTAATTGCTCAAACCTGGGAGGCGGAGGTCGCAGTGAGCCGAGATCGCACCACTGCACTCCAGCCAGGGCAACGGAGCTCTGTCTGAAACAAACAAACAAACAAACGATATGTCAATAGATTAAAAAGAAATGCTTTTATAAAAAATAGAATGGTTAAATAAGCAGGAGGCCCTTAGCCTGAAGTTTTCTCCTTACTTTGAGGTCCTATGTGAAAAACTAACTTTGTACATAAACAAACAGAAATCTAACTCAAGAATATGTTTTTTGTAATGCCAGATTTCAGCCAATCGCAGATGGCCAACTCATCACACCATGCCCAAATAAAGCAGATGCAGAGCTGTAGCCAATCGAGTTATTTTGCTTTTTTACTTCAGTGCTTAGTTCATAAAAACTATCCAGCAGCAGCTCATGCTGCTGGATAGAGAACTCTGTGAGCCTCTTCTGGTTCTGAGTGCTGCCTGACTCGTGAATTGTTCATTGCTCAGATAAATTGTTAAATTTAATTTATCTAAAGTTTTTATTTTAACAGGATGACACTATAGATGCTTTTTAAAATAAAAAATTATGATTTTTTTTTTTTTTTTTTGAAACGGAGTTTCGCTCTTGTTACCCAGGCTGGAGTGCAATGGCGCGATCTCGGCTCACCGCAACCTCCGCCTCCTGGGTTCAGGCAATTCTCCTGCCTCAGCCTCCTGAGTAGCTGGGATTACAGGCACGCGCCACCATGCCCAGCCAATTTTTTGTAGTTTTTAGTAGAGACGGGGTTTCACCATGTTGACCAGGATGGTCTCGATCTCTTGACCTCGTGATCCACCCGCCTCGGCCTCCCAAAGTGCTAGGATTACAGGCGTGAGCCACCGCGCCCGGCCAAAAATTATGATATTTTAACAGAAGAAACTGTAGTGAAAGTGAAGGAATTGCTGAACTTTACATCATTGTTTCTTCATCCTGAGAGTTAACAGGCTCTAAAGAAGTCTTCCTGGCCGGGCGCGGTGGCTCAAGCCTGTAATCTCAGCACTTTGGGAGGCCGAGGCGGGTGAATCACGAGGTCAAGAGATCGAGACCATCCTGGTCAACATGGTGAAACCCCGTCTCTACTAAAAATACAAAAAATTAGCTGGGCATGGTGGCGCGTGCCTGTAATCCCAGCTACTTGGGAGGCTGAGGCAGGAGAATCGCTTAAACCCAAGAGGTGGAGGTTGTGATGAGCCGAGATTGTGCCATTGCACTCCAGCCTGGGCAAGAAGAAGGAAACTCCATCTAAAAAAAAAAACAAATTTCTCCCATGCAATTGACTTCCTTTTTCTGCCTGGAGTCCTAAAGTATCCTTTCTATTCCTGAAGTATAGAAATTCAGGCTATGTCATTGTTAAGTTCTGTATCAATTTTTCATGGAACCTGGTACATTATTTCTGTTTCTATATTTCCTATTGGAATAACATGTTGTTTTTAATTTCAGGATTTTTTTTTCATTATGAATGCTTTTTCTTTCCCATTTTGTAATTCTCTACTTCAAAGACAACAATTATTCTTACACTGTCTCATCTTTGTTCTCCATAATGATTATATTCTTGTTTTAATTTCTCCTCTGTTTTCTTTATGCACTGTACTGTCTAAATGATTAAACTGTAACTGATTTATAAATGAAAATGTAGCATGGTATAAACAGACTCAGGTTAGGAATGAGGATATTTGAATTCTAACTTGGCCAAGTCTTTCTTAAAGAAGTATTCATGCTTGAAAAATAGGTAAATAACTATCTCTCCCTCCTGCCCCCAGTATTTTTGGAGCTATGAAATAACATACATGGAGTAGTTCATCCTGGTTCTGATACAGGGTTGCTACTTAAGAGATGCTGGCTGTTATTACTTATTCCTCCATTCAAGATGGAGAAGGGGTGGTGTTAGAATTCAAGTTCCAAACACATGTTACATTATAGTTGTTCTGGAAGTCGCAATGGATGAGGATAGATAGTGCCTTTTCCCTCTGTAATAAAAGGAAATTTAACCTCCATGAGAAAACGAGATAAACAGAAGTACTTTAAAACATTCTGTTTGGAGTTTATTTTGTGGAATCTCAACTTATTTTCTGTTGTTTGTGTTCATTTTCAAGTTTATATTAAATCTTGGTAATGCATGGAAACCCACCAACTAGTGGACCATCCTTGATCAATACTTGATCAGATATGAAAGGAAATTTAAGATAATGATTCTAATCTCATTAAGACTTCAGACTGTTCTAAAATGTAGCATTTATTTAAAATTTAGTATGCAATAACTGACTTTAAATGAGTTTTAATGGCTGGGCACAGTGGCTCATGTCTGTGTAATCCCAGCACTTTGGGAGGCCAAGGAGGGAGGATTACTTGAGTCCGGGAGTTCAAGATCAAGCTGAGCAACATAGGGAGACTCCATCTCTAATATATAAAATAAATAAAATAGTTTAAGTAGTTTATTTACAGATAACATGTATTTTTAGTTATTAATATTTAAAATAGATCTCAGTTTTGAAAACTGGACTTAAATAGTGTTAACATTTGAATTTCACTAAAATGCAAGCTCCATGAGGACAGGGTTTTAATAAATAATAGTAATTATTATTATTATTATTACTATGTGAGACAGGGTCTTTCTCTGTGGCCCAGGCTGCAGCGCAGTGGCATGATCACAGCTCTCTGTAACCTTGACCTCTTGGACTCAAGTGGTTCTCCTACCTGAGCCTCCTGAATGGCTGGGATTACAAGTGCATGCCCACCTAATTTTTTTTTTACTTTTTGTAGAGATAGGGGTCTCACTTTGTTGCTCAGGCTGGTCTCAAACTCCTGTCCTCAAGCAATCCACCCACTTCGGCTTCCCAAAGTGCCGGGATTACAGGCATGAGCCACTGTATCCAGCCCAGAAGTACTGCATATATTAATTGACAGTATTTTCATGGCCATTTGAGAGCTAATGATACAATTAATTATGTTATAATGCATGTTTTGAAAGTAAGCATTATTCCAACAATTGACATATTAGGGAACGATTTGGGCATAATAAAACTTTCATGTTTGCTTATGCATG